ATGGATAATATTGTTCTAAAGCTATTTTCTTGTGGCATTTTAAATTAAATACTATTTAACTGGGAATAAGCCACAATTAAAGATAAAAATACGTTTATTGACGTTTTAATTTCCACTTCGGAAATCGTTCTCAAAATACAAACAGTAAATTGAAGTGGAAATTGAAACGTCAATAAACGTATTTTTATCTTTAATTGTGGCTTATTCCCAGTTAAATAGTATTTAATCTAATGGATAATGTTGGGATCATAACCATCGTTGAAAGCAATTTGCTTGAGAGTATTAAGTTCTAAATTAAAGTTCTCATTAAAAAGTGGAAATTTGAGTAGTCTATAAATGTAACTGTTGAAAGCAGCCATTTTATGTTGGATTGGATGATTAGATGTTTCATGTATAACAGCATCTGTTTGAGTAGATTTTCTGTAAATATTGTACTATACAGAATCTTTTTTACGAGATATAGTTATATTCAAGAATAATAAGTTCAACTCGGTGTCAGATTCTGGTTCCAGTGTAAAAGAGATATTAGGATGGGTGTTATTGGGACAATCCAGAATCGGTAAAGCATCATCTTGGGTTCTCGGTATGAGAGCTATACAATCATCAACATATTTTGACCAAAAACTATTTTGTTGTTGTTAATAAATTTCTGTTCTAAGCTGTCTAAAAAAATATCAGCTAAAAAGGTGCTATTGGAAAACTCAACGGTGAACCCGTTGGTTGTTTATACATTTTTTAATTAAATTGAAAGAAGTTCTGATCAGGACAATGATAGCAGATGGCATCTTTGTCTTTTGCTGATATGTTGCAACTGTTTAGACGGTTATGTACTAAAGGTAAGGTTTCATCCCTTGGTAACCAAATTGGAAACATCAAAAGAAAAAACTCTCTTCTATTTTGATGTTATTTAAACGTTCTATTGGATCTAGAGAAGAAAGATTACATCTCCCACTGTTGGTCAGTTGGTCTTGAGTAATGCTTTGAGATTTTAATTTTATAGTTCTCCCATTGACTGTGGGTCTAACTGAACTATTGGTATTATACCCCATTTTTACACTTTGCTTTCAGTTTTGATTTTTAATTCCAAGTATTCCAATTTCATAGTTCGATTTCTTCTTTTCTACAGTATTGGTAGTGCTTGGTAGACCTTTTTGTTGTAGTCAACCACCTACTATCTAATAGATCGTTTAGTCTATTTTTTACATTTATGCTCTACGTCCACTTCAGCATAACAACCAAATTATTATTGACAGGTTTGAGTGTGAGATCTGGATTATGCAATCTACATAAAGTAATATATATAATTTCATATTTCATCAGTTGACTTCCTATAGTAATGTCAGTTGGACCTTTGGTCAATGCTGTTCTTAGAATTTTGAAATGTGCAGATCACATCACCATGTTTGTGACTGCTCATCCAAGTTGTCATATGTCAGATGTCACTTTAACATTTCCGTTAAGACCAGGAGCCATTCTCTCTCCTGATGTCACCCAATATGTAGCTTCTTCGATGTTATAATAATTTTAAACTGTTTGTTCTTTGTCTCGTGTTGTGTAAATGTATCAGTTAATGTTTATGATATTCTCATTATATTGTTGGATTTGACGATTATTTTGACGAAGTAAGTCTAAAACGTTATATTACAAAATTTTTAATCAACCATCAACTTCGTATTTTTTCGAAGTCAATTAATTTTTCTTCAGATGAAAAAAGGTTTATTGGCTTATTTCAGATGCCCTGAAGATGCTCTAGGAGTGAAAATACTTACGGAATAGGTTCTAAAGTTGTTATTACGTATTGTAATATTGATTTATATATGTTTAATGGTGAGTCACATGAACCCCTAAAAAAATCTCATTGGTTTGTGTCCATTAAAAATGTTTGTACGAACGATCACTATAATATTTTCAATATTAACGCTTTGATGAGAGTTGTTAAAAATTCCAAACAAAAAATTGTAGTCGCTAACCCCACGGTAAAATTAAGTGACCGAAAACTTTCATAATAATAATAAATATTTAATAGTGTTGTGAGTAATATTGCACATAAAACATATATGTTAACACTTTTCACATAAAATAGCATATTATTAGAAATATTTACTATTATAACTAAAGAAAACATTAACGAATTTGTGTTGAAACTTTTTATTTGTATTTTCGTCATAAACCACATAAATATCAGACTGTAATCGAGTTCAAGTAGGCGAAAGGCCCCCACAGTTATAAAAAAATTGACGAATGATTAAGCTAAGTAATATGAACAGCCATTTTCCAAATGCAAATGTAAAACCATAAACAAAACGAAAAATAAATACAAACATAGGAAATTGTGACACTGCTTACAACTCAAACAAGATAAATATGCCTGTAGCCAAAATATTGGAGGTCGCCTCTGATGGTTTAATAATAGCAGTTAAATATTTTGGAACAAAATAGAGGCTTTGAAAGAATGAAAACGAAAAGATATAAAGGAAATTAAGAAAGAAAGAAATCCATTGGAAAAAAACGTACCAGATGTAACAGTTGACCTAAAACCAACAAGAAAAAATAAAGATGCAATAAAAAAGAAAGAGTGAGTATGACAATAAAATAGAACATAAAGAAGAAAGAATAGATGAAAAAAGATGTTAAAGGGAAACGATGGGTTTATTTTCAACGTTCCCTGAGAGCACCAAAACCCTCGTGGTGACCTGTCTTGATTTGTTACAGGATTTAAGCGTAGGTTGCTGATTCGTTTTGTTACTCTTGTGGGGGTGAAATTATACACTTACACTTTACTTCTTCGCTTTATTTTACTTGCAAACTTGCACTTTGCAACACTAAACTGACTTATAATATAACTTGTAATATATTAATATATCTTGATGTGTGATACGGGTGAGAGAGAAACGAGGAGAGAGAATAACTTATTTAGCGACTTCTTAACTTGAACTACTTAATGGGACTGCCCTTATATGCTTGTATGCAATATGTGGCCAGTTTGGGCAAATGACAAAGGGTCAGCGGGTGTATGAGGGGCGTCAAATGCACTGAAGATTTTTGGTTCTTTTAACTATTAAGGGCTAACATGTGTTATTCAGGAACAGAGGCGGCGTTAGGTTAAATTAAAACAGTTAAAGAATTAGTTGGTTTGCCAACAGATATAAAAATAAGACGGCATAGATTCGGAAATTCAAAAATTATTAGACGAAGTATGAGTATTAGTCAAATGGTTCTCGTTTCTCTTCTGCTTTTCTTAAGAGCGTCTTTGTGTTAACCCGGTCCAGTTGCGAATGTTTTTCATCCAGGATATATGTCGTCTACCAGGACCCCTTTTCCTTTTCCTTCGATTTTTTCCTTCATAATCAGCTGTGGCCCAAATATGCTGTCTTTCGCCTTTTAATGGTGGTCAAAAGTTCTCTGTCTCTTCCCATTCTGTGCAACACCATTTCGCTCGTAATATGATCGGTCCATGGTACAAACAGAAAGAGCAATATTAGGGATACGACTGTCAGATAAAAAAGGAAAGACTGGCAAGATAAAAAAAGGTCGACAATATCACAACAATTACCGAACTCTTATGTAGTTTTGTAGGATAAACTGCTAGACAAAAAGACCAACGTTGAAATGCCCCAATACAAAATTGGAGACCTTCCAAATGTAGAGGATCAAGGGAAGGATCAGAGATAAACAAATGATATTACAAAAAGACCAAAGATGAGATGAACAAATGGTATTAAAAAATATTCGGAACAAATTGAAAGTATGTTGCTCAGGATAACGATCTATGGAAGGAGTTAGAAGAGGCTTATGTTTAAAAATAGACGATAGAAGGTTAAGAACAATAAGAAAACGAACAAATACATGAAAAACAATGAAAACTTCCTCTATTGGATATTTAGATTCTATATTGTAAATTGTTCTCAAAATACCTAACAATAGTTAGGTTTTTCTTACAGTAAGAAGAAATAAGTTAGGTAACAAGTTTCTCTTTATTGCAAATATATGTTATACGGTAAAATGCTCTTATTTTAAGTTTGTTCTTACTGCACCTTCAGTTTTATCTCTGTTTAGTTTAGTTTAGTTATAGTAGCAAATTTGCAATCTGTGTTGTCAAAAACCTGTAAATATACCCACCGTCCAAGTCGGGATCACATCTGGCCTCGTCCGACTTGTCGAAACAATCAGGAATGCCGTCACACAGATAGGCGATGTCAACGCACAAACCGTCATTGCAGTGAAATTCGTTAGCTGTGCAAGCTGCAAGCAAGTGCTGTATAAGCGTGTTGGTTAATAAGCACGTTAGAAAAAGCAACGCAATTTTGTTATTTATAAAAAAACGTTAGTAAACATTTTAGGGGTTCTTGAATTATTTGAAAGAAACATTTCCACGAGATTTTTTTTGATATATTCTGTATAATAAGGACCAAGTACGTAAAATTTTTGATGTCAGCAATTATCTAAATTTTAGTTCATCTCAGAGGTCAATTCTTCAACGGGCCTCCCCATAAGTACTCGATTGCGCGCGATTGTGCTGTCGCGCGACTGTATAATCTGTATAATGTAACAACAGCGTTCGCGGCACCTGAGTTTCATTATACGTTTTTCGTTAGCGACATCTTGATCTTTATTCTGTGTGATTATACAAAAAATATCGTGGAAAAGTTTTCGCCTTATCTATTATTAACATTTGTCGCTTGAGAATAATGATATAATCTTAAAAATTACTTTCATTTTTCTAAATTGAAGACACAAAGGCGAAGTATACAAAAATTAATTTAAAATATTATTAGGTCAAATTAGAGAAATTTTTATATTGTTAAAATAACGAGCATTTTTTGGTTAGTGTCAGTATCAGGTCGACATATTAAAGTCCCTATACGGTTTATCCCATTCAATAACTACAAACAGTCCATTATTTCATTATTTGAAAGTTCTCGTTTCCAATTTAAAATCAAGACAAGTTAGTAGTAGAACTCCCAGACAGGCTGCATCACAATGAAGAAAAAACGACATACCACCTAATGGAGCGATAGTCGTCGAAGGAGCTAGAGTCGGGCAGTTTTCTTCGTCACTGCCGCTCGGACAGTCCGGGTAACCGTTACATTGCTTGTACTCCTCGATGCAGTAGCCTTCGCGGCATGCTATGTAGCCTTCTTGGCAAGTGGCACCTGTTGTAAAACACTCAATAGTTTGCGAAACTTTTCAACAGCTTATTGCTTATGAGAAATACGTTCGGAACATACTGCTACTCTATCGACCAATTAATTAAAGAAAAAGTTACTAATAGTTTGAAACGTGGCGGTTTGTGAATGTAAAATGAAGTGATGTACCAAAAGAAAGTAGTGAAGTCTAGTGAAGCAATGGACTTATAACGAGAGGCTAAATCTGGAAATACAGTACAGTCGATTTCACATGCAGAAGGAAAATTAGAGGAAAACTGGTAATATCTTTCACTCGTTGTAAAAATATTATTTTACTAGTTTGAAATAGTGATAAAACAGAATAAGACAATTAAATTTAAAGAGAAATAGTGAAAAATTGTAAAAGCATATCATTCATTACCTAGGGCCCATAATTATTCTTAAAGAAAAAAGACCTCCAATATAGAAAACAGATGAAGGAAAGCAATTAACACACATCATTCATTAAATAAAACAATACTCAGAAAGAAAGAACGAAATATTAGTGTTTGACATGATAAATGTGTCATTCATTACACACGCAAATGAAGTACACAATTACAGAAACAACACAAAACAAAAACAGCAGCTATGAAAATGAAATATCTTTGAAGGATTGTTCGAAATACCAAAATGGATAGAATTTGAAAGAGAGAAATTAGGCAACTGAGAACCTATACCATAAAAATTTAAAGTGTATAAAATAGTTGGACATCCAGTGAAGAAAAATCAAAAGAATTAACTGAGAAATAGAAGAGCATAGAACAATGAAAAAAAGCAGACCAAAAACTGAATAGACTAAATAAATAAAATTGGACATCAAAGACAATACAACACTTGAAGAAATGGGAGTGCTGAGTGCAGACCGATAAAAATGGAAGAAATAGATCAGCAAACAACATTAAAATAGGGATTCGCGCGAAGACTAACGTAAAACCCTTTTTGGAAAGATAGAATATGTCATGGTTTTGTATTTTGTATACTCTACAAGCCATTTCCTAACTGTTTGCTACTAGATTTCAACTTGACTGTAAGAATGTTATTTTTTGACGTGACGCCAAAAATAGATACTCTGTATATAGCTCACAACCAATATAAGCCACGTAATACATGAAATTGGTCAACGAACAACATTCCAATTTAAATCTTCAGTAAACGGAAGAATTATTTATCGTGACAATAAATAACAGCTAACAACTATAGCATATAAATTGTACTAACGTTATTCACGCCATTAGCCACAGATGGAATCCAAACTAATACAAACATTTATTTATTTTATATAAATATAATCGCTAGAGCAGCAGTATGTGTACAAATCGTATTTAAATATATTTTTCACGTGCTTTTAGTTATTAAAAGTGCAATCAATCCTAAGGAAAACTGTTGCTGTGGATGTCCTTAACAATTTACGCATTCAATTTAGTCCAGAAAAGTTGTTTAGAATTAGTATTAGTCCATTCCAAGATTGCAATTAATTTAGTCCCTGATGGTTGAATTGGATTAGTATTACAGGTTGTAAGACAAAAGTTCATTCCGAAGTTAGTAAAATATCCCACAAGCACTCTTTTCTTAGGTCTATAAACATGTTTACTGAGTAAAATTACGATCTCACATCTGATACTCATACGAGTTAAATTACACCTATACCACCCGTATATAATAAGAGCAAATTACAGAAAAATCCTGTTAAAGGCATTAGTTACGATTGGTAGAACAATATGATGTTTTAATCCATACAAGATCATGTATTAATGCGAAGGTTCTTCGAAGAAAGCAGAAGTATTAAAAAAAGGTATAGAATAGGACAAATAGATATGTTTGCTCCAAAAAATAAAGCACCACCAAAAACCGAAAATGTATGCTAAGCTTATAACAAATTTATAGGAACGCGAGAAAAACTACTGCTTTTTTTTCTATGTGACATACTCAGTGGTTCCTGTAACTACCTCTTATTGTTAAGACTACCTGCAGTGGTCGATTATTAAATCAATAAAACTGCGGTATGATCTCTCATTAATTATCAAAGTAAGTTTCAAATTTTGCAAGATGACTCATACTGGGTTTATTGGCAATAAAAATATTCAAGTAGATTTAAATCTACTGAAAGAATTCATCATCATTATCACTATGGCTTTACAACCCTGCGTGTCCTAACTTCCTCAAGAATTTATCTCCAGTCATCTCTATCCATCGCCTTTCTCCGACAAGCACGTATTCCCATTTCTTCTGTCTTTATCGATGTTATCAAGGAACCTTGTTCTGGGTTTTCATCTTCTCTAACCAATGGGCCTATCAAGTAGCGCTTTTCTACCTGGGTCATTTTGTTTCATCCGCATTGCATGTCCTATCCACATCAGACGTCCTATCTTAATATGTTTTACGGTATCAGGTTCCTGGTATATTCTATAAACTTTGAAGTTGTATCCACTTCTCCACACTGCATGGTTATTCACTACTCCATAGTTCCGCCTTACTACTTTTCTTTCGATATATCCTAACATGTTTTCATTATCTTTTGATAGAGTGCAGGTATCTGAACCATATATTAGGACCGCTCGTATTATTGTTTTGTAGAGTTTTATTTTTGTATTTCTCAATATAATTGTGAATTTAAGGAGGAGATTAAGCCCAACATAGCATCTGTTGGCCGTGCAAATTCTGCGGTTTATCTCTGCGGTAATATTATTTTCAGTGTTAAGGAGCGCTCCCAGGTATACAAATTCATTCACTGCTTTATTGACGTCGTTTTCTATAACAAGTGGTTGCAGGGTTTGTGGTTGCGTGCTTATTTTGATATACTTCGTTTTATTGGTATTTATTAAACCCATTTTTGTAGCTGATTCTTTCCGTCTCCCATACAGCGTTTTCCGTTCTCCCAACAATATTAATATCATCAGCATAGGCCAGGATTTGCATTAATTTATTATATATTGGATCAGTGATTATGATCTGTGACATACGTATTACGTTTTCCTGAGCCAGCTTAAACAGTATACCGGAGAGAGGGTCTCCCTTGCGCAGCCCATTATTTGTTTTAAATGGTTAAGACGGTTCCCGTGGGATCCGTACTCTACATTCAACTGTTTTAAGAGTAGTTTTGTTAAATTTACTAACTGGTTTGGTATTCCTAGCTCTTTCATTGCTTTGAACATGTCTCTTTTGTTCAGAGTCGTAGACTGCTTTGTAGTTTATAAATATGTGATGAGTATCAATGCAACATTCCAGTGTTTTCCCAAAATCTGTTTCGGGGTTGCAATCTGATAAACTGTTGATTTACCACCTCTGAAACCAGTCTGGTATTTTCCTACTATCCGCATAGGTGCCAAACGGTGACATAGTACTGTACAAAATATTTATTCACTGCATTTAGAAGTGTAATTACTCTGTGGTTAGAGCATTCAAAGGTATCTCCTTTTTCGTATATGGTGCAAAGTATTCCAATATTCCTATCATTGGGGAGGAATTTCTGTGTCCCTATTTCTTTTATAAGCTGCTGTAATGCCATAATGGTATCATGACCAACTTCTTTCTATAGTTCAGCTGGGAGATTATCTATTCCGGGTGATTTGTTTCTGGCTAGTTTTTTAACTGCCTCTTAAACTTCAAGAATTGTTGGTGGTTATTATTCCCTCTCATCTGCTCCCCTTATCTCATCTCTTTCGTCTTCCAGGTTTTCTTCTTCTTTCTACATAATAAGTGACTGGTTAAAGTATTCCATTCATCAATTCAATACATATTTTCTTGTTGTTAATAGGTCACCATTCTGACTTCATCTTTGTCTTTAGGTTGCCTTGAATTATCGTTTGTTGATGTTAACTTTTTTATAGAATGCTTTGAATTCTTTTTCTCTATCTTTCTTTATTGTGGTCCAGTAGGAGTCTATATCTGTATGGCCTTCTTTATTTACATTTTGATTCCTTAGCTTGTTGGTGATTTTTTCCAAGTATCGTTCTGCAATTGTCACATTTCTCAGCTTTTGCACATTCCATTTTTTTGTATCGATTTTCTTTTCTTTACTGTTATTTAAAATTCTAGCCCTCAATGATTAGGCAATAGTCTATGTTTGCGCCTCTATAACTTCTGTACTTTATTACGTCTATTCCATGCCTTAAATCAATTAGGATGTAATCAATCTGACTCGTTGTTCTTTCATTAGGAGAGGTGCAGGTTACCTTGTGTATGTTCTTGTGTTCAAAATAGGTGCTAGTGACTGTCATATTGAGTGCTGCTACTAAGTTTATCAGTCGTAATCAATTATCGCTACTGATAGGGTTGTGTAGGCTATGCTTTCCTATCGTGAGTATGAAAACTCGCTCTCTTCCTATTCTTACATTTATGTCACATGAATTTGGGACATTTGCATGTGCACTGATCAAACTGTAATTCAAAAATTTTCCTTTCAAGCGCAAATAGCACATTCTTTGACTGTAGACTTTTGAGGTAATAATTAGGACTTTTTTCTTCGGTTTACAATAAATAATAAAAGCATTGGCTATTCCAAAACCCCTTTTTCGATCTTTCGAAGATAGCCTTGGTCATATACGAATTAAATTATGTAAATCTCTGCATTACCTAATGCTTCTCATAGGTCTGTAGGTGCATAGATATTGGATCGAGAGTTCCTATATTATATTTTTCTCCTTCCTATTTTGTCTCCCAGTTCATGAAAAGTTTTTACTTAGATGGATCGATTTGATGTGGAATGCAATTTTAGATTCCCCATGTCGGTCATGCATCGGTAATTTTGGTTTTGAACAAGTAAAAATCTTCATATTTTTACTTTTTGCTTTCTTTTTTCTTTATTTACTTTTCCAATTATTTGTTTTAACATCAATATATCTCCACATGAATCGTTCTAGTCTAAACTCGTCGGTTCGTCTTCTTCTTGTTCTTTATATTTCATGGTTAATTCCACTGATTATATTTTTCATGTTTTCTACTTTTTCTAGATACTGGTTTGAACACTCTTGCAAAAGTGTTTTATT